TTGGTCGGGGAGGCATCTTTGTTCTAGAAACAACCAGGAAAAGAGGATGGTAAGTCCTCAAGATATATGAAACAAGATATATCTCATCCTGATATTAAAAGTGTTCTACCAAGCGATAAGCTAAGAAGGGTTACTAACGCAAGTAAGTTACCGCTTAAGAAAGAAGAGGTAGTAACACGTGAAGTCTATATATTAAATTTGGCTCTAGCTAAAATACTCCTATAGTATTTTATGTTGAATATTTTTGTTCTTGGTAAGTTTTAGGCTTGCTGTAACACCACGGTCACTCCCAAGCATATGTTGGGCATGTCTCGAATGAATATAGTTGATCAAGCTATATTGACCCTAGACATGATTACATAACTGCCCAGGTTTAACCGCAGTGCCCCAACATCCAAATACTTTTGTTTCGTTCTATCTATGACTCTGGTTCTGGTACTCGGGTATACTTGTGTAAAAAAATACTTATATTTTTGAAAGTATACTTTTAGTTTAGAGCACTTAGGCCCCTTAATGTTTATAGTTGTATACCATGTAAGGTTCGGTATACTTAGTTCGCTATAAACAAGGGGTCTGATACCAATCTGTCACACCCCGAAACCGAAATGGCGGAATCGTTCCGGGGTGGAGGACGTCATGTTTAGCATCACAACCAATGAATAATAGGAAACATAGCAACACAACCAGTACAGTGGATATATATATATATAGATATATATATATATATATATATATATATATATAATATATATATATATATATAAAAGAAAAATGTTTACATCAGTTTGAAACTTGTTTTAATTACATCAAAAGTATGTAATTTATAAAGAACATGACTCTTATTGCTTCGGCTTCTCTGAATCCAAGAAGTACCTGTCTACTGATTCCCTGAGAATACAAGCAGTTTGAAAGAATATCAGTATAAAGCTGGTGAGTTCATAAGCATTCAGTTTGGTGGAAAAAATGTTCTTGAATCCTTTTGGGAAAGTGTTTCCTAAGAAAATCCTATATTTTCTTATGAAAAGCGTGTTCGAAAGCCTGTTCCTTCCATGACTCCCAATTCATACAATATATGTACAATCCAAGGTGTCATGGAATGAATATAATATCCGTTGGTTACTTGTTAAACAATCCGTTTTTATGAAAAGCCGAGTTATCCCGGGAAAATCCTATATTTTTCCTAAAAGTTGATGGTTGGTTATCCGTTAAACTGAGGTGTAAAGTATCTACCATACTTATATCGATAACGTAGTTTTCTTTTAAAAGCCCTGGTTACTCCCAGTGAGGTGTATTAAGCCTTTTACATAATAAAACTAATGAAAAGAAAACGTGATGAACTAAATCCTGAAGGTACAGTTAATACCCTCCAGTAATCAATCGGTTATTACTTGAGGTTAGTTCACTTGATTCATTATTAAAAAAGTAAATCTCTGTTTCTACATTGTGAGTTTTATAACCATACATTAACTTGATATGACACGTATCGGGGCCAATATCCTTTATGACTTTGTCACCCGTAGACCTACCGGTCCCACTGTAGCTAGCAGCGAGATGCGGGATAGTCAGTCCCGTATAGATCTATACACAACAGTCACGCTCTCCCTACAAGAGATTTTGGTCATAAGTGCTAGTCCTACACTCTGTCTCGGTGGTGAGTGTTACCAAGGACGTGTCTCCAACTAGACTAACAAATTTACAAGTAATAATATGGAAAATCCTTTTTATGATTTGCATGAATCCTTTATAAAGTAATACGTTTTGCTACATGATTCACAAGTTCGTTACCCTAGTTTTGAAAACTATTTCTACGAGTTGATTTCTTAATCGTTTGGTAAAACTGTTTTCCGTGTTAAAAGCATACTGAAGATATAATTATCTTAAACAAAATAATATACTTTGAGCACAAGTTTCCTTGTACTTTTGCTTGTATTCCCCCCCTGAAAACATGAAAAACTCAGAAAAAGCGTAGGGGTTTTGGGCGGTTTTGGTTCCGACTTGCATATATAATTTTAATTATATAACACCAGATGATTTTCTAAATCAAAGGTTCGACGGAAGATTAATAAAATTCAAATTTTATTAACGGAAATCACATAATGGAAACGGAAAAGTTTCGGGTTGTCACAGAACAGGTAACTGCGGCTCGGTTACGAATTAGATTAAAGGATGTTAAGCCTTTCATTATCGTCAAAAACACCACCCAAGCCACCTAGGGCTAAGCTCCGACGATTTGGAGAAGGAAGAAGGAGAAAGAGGCTATCAAAGGAGTTTATGGCTTGTTTGTCATATGGTGCATTATCAACAACTAGAGTACAATACATTTTTCCATTTGGTTTCTTGTCAATTATAACAGATGCAGATGATGATATGGATGAAGATCCAATCATTTCTGTTTAAAAAATCAATATAATAATGTAAATGTTATATGATCCATAAACATTACATGAAATAACATAAAATACTGTTAATAACATATAAGAATTTAAATGAAAAATAATATTTTTGCATCATAACTTGATTACAGCTTTTTTGATAAAGTTCATCTTCTTTTTCTTTTGAATAGTTTGTTCATCAACATCCATTGGAGATTCAGTTTCTTCAGAATCTTGATCCATCATTGTTCTTTTAGTTGTAAAATCATCTTATTAAACAAATTTTCATATATTAGACAGCAGAAGCCAACATTTAGCAAAATTTCAGTTCATTCTCAAAGTATAATTAATCAAAATAATGCAATTATCAACATATGATCCACAACAATTATTTTAATCAAATTTTTAACAACAAATGATCAAAACAGTTAAAATTAAGTACATTAATCAACATATCATGGATATATGATAAAAAATTTAGACTGTAAAGTAACAAATTTCAATACAGATCAAAAGTTTCTTTTTTTAGGTATTTATATGAAGATTAAACACAAACATTGCATCAATTCTATTCTAATCGATTGAATCCTATTAATCATTGTGCCAGTAAACTCATTATTGAAATTCGATTAAATAACATAAGATTACAACTGAAAAAATCGGATTTTTTACCTAAAATTCGTAAATAGAGTACACATAAATTTTCTATTGTAAATCCAAAATTTCAATCAGAAATTCACTTCATTACACTCGAATTACATCCGTGAATCATAATGATTTGAAGAAAACAAATGATTTTTCATGTGAATTGAAGTAGAGATTTGATATGAAAACAACGAAAACACAGATTTGTTTTCGAAATCAATTGAATTCTTCAATCAATGTATCTAAAATCGATTTAATTTAGTAAATCTAACCCGATCTATTGATCAATTGTTGAATGTACATTGAATTGAACCCATAAGAAGCTTGAAATTTGATTTTCGATTTGGATATGACGTCTGTTTACGTGAAGAAGAAGTCGATGGTATCAGGTTATGAAGAACGCGTGTTAATAAGGCCCAACTCATTTAGTTTTAGGTTTGGGCGAAATTACCCTTAATGAGGTTGATTGGTCGAGATTAGTCCTCACGGTTCCTACCAAATTTTGGGTTCCTATCGGATCCGGACCCTGTATATAATATATATATTATATATATATATATATATATATATATATATATATATATATATATATCTATATATATAGGTTCATATGTGGATTAACATCTATTGTGCAGACGTATAGACAATGTTATTATCTGAGAATGACTAAGAGAAATTTGCTGTTTGGTAATGTGAATACGTTTAAACTCACATAACTATTATCATTATCATACATTTTCACTAATTAAATCTTCTGTAAGGGTATTATGGATTTTTTTTATGATTCTTATTCTGTCATAATGTGTTCTTAATAACCGTATTCTATAAAAATGAGAATGTGTGAAAAACAATGCGTGAGAACAAAAATGAATAAAAACTAGTGAGAATGCATGATAATGACGATATTTATGTGAGTTTGAACGTATTCATATTACTAAACAACATATTCACTTAGTCATTTTAATAGAATAGAACCATACACATACGTCCGCACAATAGATGTCATCCACATTTTAACTTATTCTCACAATAAATCAGCCCTATATATATATATATATATATATATATATATATATATATATTATATATATATATTAATATTATATATATATATATATATATATAAGTTTTATGTCTTTTCAATTAAAAGTGCTATATTTTTGTATTATTAGGTAATGTTTTGAGAAATTTTAATTAATATATTTTTTTGTTTAGTTAATATTTGTTTTAAAAATAATAATAATTATTTCTCTTAAAATGTTGAAATATAAAATATAAATTGGTCGTTATGCTCTAAGTATCAATAGGACGAGCGTTTTTTTTTATGATGTGGTACCGGCGGGAACACCATTCGTGGTATCCCGATGATCCTTTGGTTTGCTTTCATTACATAGTTGGTATTACTCTGTTTTGGTACTTGTACAACTTGTTTTAGTTGACCAGATGAAAAAGATGTTTGATTAGTGGCTAGTTATATGCGGTGATGTGAAAGAGAGAATATTGCTAAGGATGGGAGGTGACAAAATGAGGAGGATGGTGACATAAAAAATTTGAATCTAAAATAAATCATGATTTCGACTGCATCACGATCAATCAAATTCGGATCTAATTTCTATCGTTTTCGCCGAGAATTTCCAATTATGGGCATTCGAATTCTAAAGGAAAATATATGCAGATTTGATTTCAAAGATTTTGGTAAAACTTCGGACTCGGAGACACATGACACAACACATGACACGTCCACACGTTTTTCTCTTTGTAAAAAAACAATAGACAAAAAAAAAATGATGTTCATTTCACACCTTATTAGCTGTGTTTCAGTCATAACTTTACATACTCGAAATTACCCAATTGCCCTTATACTAGAACCATAGAAGAACGTTCCACGTCGTTTCACTCACATAAAGGTCTTCTTTGTGCGTATTGCATATATGATCCTCCTTATATATAAACTCATATCAGAAGCCACATATAACATATTCGTCTCATTTTTCTCTCGCTCTCTCTCTCACACACACTACCTATCAACTCTCTACTCCGGCCCTGTCTTTCTATATATATATATCATCTCTCTCTCTCTCTCTCTCTCTCTCTCTCTCTCTCTCTTGTGTGTGTGTGTGTGTGTGAAAACATGAAGACTATGAAATCAAAGACCATTTTGGCACTTGGGTTTCTTTTGTTTATATTTATATTGTCTCATCCATCACCGACCCAAGCTCAAGAAGTTGGTAATGCCCTAAACCTCGTTATGACGTTATATACTGGTTTTTGACTTGATGATCATATCTAGCTAACAGAGAGAACCATGGGTTGAAACTCAGAAAAACCACATGATAACTAACATGGTTTCTCCATTGTTTTTCGTTTTTAAAGTTTAATGATCTTGTGTGTGTATAAATGTAGAGGATGAAAGAGAATTTGATTATGCGAGAGGTGGGCATATGGGGCCGGAGAAATGGGGGGAGATAAAGAAAGAATGGTCGGCGTGCAGCAACGGGACGATGCAAATCTCCGATTGATATGTCGAGTCAGAGGGTGGAGATGATGGCCAGTTCTAACAAGCTGTTCACAAACTACAAGGCTCGTAATGCTACGATCAAGAATAGAGGTCATGACATTATGGTATGACCAAAATATACCTTGGATATTACTTAATATAATTAATTAATTATTTGGCCACCTTTGATTAGATGCCCACTATTTTTCGATAATTTAATTATTTTTATAAAAAGTTGGGTTTTGAGATTTTATTAATGAATAAATTAATATATTCTTTTTTGCTTATTGAGTTTGGTTTCATGGATTTTCGTAAAACATCATTTTAGTTGTTAACATGATGAAGTATATGTTGGTAACTTTCGTATTTTTGAAAAGAAAATTTACATGGAACACTTTATGATTGTCATCTTGGTGGTTTTGACTTTTTATAGAATTTTATTATTTGGCGTGCTGGCGTGTTTTAAGTATTGATGATTTTAATTTTATTAAGAATTTAATGTTGCAGCTAGAATGGGAAGGAGATGCGGGGTCAATTCGCATAAATGGCACCGAGTATGCTTTGAAACAAGCTCATTGGCACTCGCCTTCAGAGCATTCCATCAATGGCAGAAGGTATATATATATATATATATATATATATATAGATATATATATATATATCTATATATATATTATATATATATATATATAAGATAGATAGATATTGGTGCATTTCACATATAAAAAATATATATCTATCTTTCTATGATGATTCACAAACATTTAAAAAAAACAATGATAAGCCCATTCGAACTCGTTAGGGTTTATGCATGGGTTCATATAAAATTAAAAAAAAACAACAACAGTTTTTGAGATATGTTAAGCACCCGTTAATAAAAGCAAAATGAATAATTAGCCCTGTATAAATATATATTGTTCAGATGGTTCAGTTACCATTTTCTAAAACTATCAATAATATTTTCCCTGAAGGATAAATACTTTGTATACAGTAATTTTCATATGAAGAGTACAAATTTCATATTTAAATTTCAAATAAATTTTTAATTAAAAAACTTAAATTTAAAAAAGTTAAGTTTATCTATTTAATTTAATAACAAATATTTTTTTATAAAATCACATATTAAATCAAATATTTATTATTAAGATAATTACCTTAGTTGTTGAGCAATTTCCTTGACTATATGATTATATATGAACAGATATGCCATGGAACTACATCTTGTCCACCTCAGCGCTGATGGCAAAATAGCTGTCATTGCTGTTCTTTACAATATTGGCAAACCTGACCATTTTCTTTCAAAGGTAACCTTTTACTACCCTTAACTTTTTTTATCCTTTTATTTTTCAGTTTTCACCCTCTAATTCTCTTTCGGTAACTTATTTTTCATTGCTTAATTTAGTTGTGTTTTCATTCTACTTCATTATACTGACTGCATCCCAAATTAATATTATTCTTTTAAAATACATCATATTGTTCTAGTGGTAGTTATCACATTTGTAACAATGATTTCCTTGAACATAGTCTTCAAATGAATTTACATATTTAAACAACCATTTGCAGTTGATGGTAAATATAACAGCCATGATAGACCAAAAGGGTGAGCATGGACACAGTGGAGTTATAGACCCTAAAGAGATTCAAATGAGTAATAGAAGATACTACAGATACATCGGCTCACTTACTGTTCCTCCTTGCACTGAAGGAGTTGTTTGGACCATAAGCAAAAAGGTATAAATGTAAAATCATTACGTTTGTAATCAACAAAACAAAGAGCCATAATGTTTTATAAGTTGACTAACGATTTTAATTTCTTATACAGATAAGAACTGTTTCAATAGATCAAGTTAAATTGCTTCGAGAGGCTGTGCACGACGTAAGTGTCAGTTGAGCAGATGAATGCTAATTTTCTTGTTTTTTTTAACCCACAAGTAAGTTGAAATTGATTTTTGTATTGCAGTATGCAGAAAATAATGCAAGACCAATACAGCCGGTGAATCAACGAGACCTTAGAGTTTATGGTCCAGCTTCGACACAATAGATATATTGGATGTATGGGTCGTTATAGATACTTAAATATTTTGTAGTACATGATACCCATCTTGGTTCTCTATTAATGATATATATTGATTCTTTTTTTTATTATTAATTACTCTTTTTATATGACCATATTTTTTTCTAAATAAAAAAAACAAGAATTGAACTACTGTACAAGTCTTGTTTTAGTCCCATTATAAATAACACTCAACAATCTCCATCCCTTATGTGCATTACGTGCATATATGTATGTACGATGTTTGAATTCAAATTTCATATAGACATATGAAACCTAACGCAAAACAAAAGCAAATACCAAATGATTGTTCAAAGGGATGAGTATTATTGATCAAAAAGTGTATAGTGTATTTGAAAGGCTTACAAAATCCGTTGGGAACTAAATTTGGTATGTATGCCAAAATTTGGAAATATTGAAATTGGAAATACATTCCTCTAATTAACCTTCCAAATAAATATGGGAAAATGAAAATTAAGTAAATCAAATATCTCGTATTAAAACAAAATAAAATAAAGATAAAACTGCAAAATGGTCCACATTGGTTGTTTTTTTTTTTCAGAAAATTAGTCCAAATATCTCAAAATTTATAGAAATAGTCATTTTTCAGTTAGTTTCGTAGAATATTTGATCCTTCTAAAAAATAAAATTACTGTAATACCTTTGATATGTTTTTTTTTCTA